TTCTTCTTCTTAACATTTATTAAGCACAAAGTCAAATCTTTGCAATCAAGTCTGTTTTGTGAGTCTGCCTGTGCAGACAGGATGAACCCAGCACGTTAGCGGTTTTTGGTGGTCGGAGAAACAGAGCTCAGAGAAAACCACCGACCACCTCACTGCTGATAATATTAACACGCACATTTCTGAAGTCAGACCGCCACTAAAGGCAGGAAACAATCAGCACCATTATTAGACTGCCTCAAATAAGTGTTCCACCGACTCGTCAAGAAGCCGACCTTAACCTCTTAAGCCCCAACGCCCCCTGATACGGGGGCAAAAGGCAGGAGATCAGGTAGGCTTGGGGCTTAAGAGGTTAAACTGAAACATCTGTGTTTAACTGCGTGATCGCTGCAAAGAACCGAAGCTCACCATCCCTACACTAACTGTACAGGAGCTGCAGAAGCCTCGTCTGCATCTTTCCTGTCTTATCTCAGAGAGCAGGGAAGCTTCAGCAGCTTTCAGGAGGAATCTGAGTGAAGCTGCTTCTCGCTGTAGCTTCTGTTTTTCCTGTTTCACGCTCGTCTTTGATGACTGAGCTCCAGGAGACGCTCGCAAACGCAGGCGAAGCGCTGACAAAGTAGTGATTCACTGATCTAGTGGCAGAGATAGATGCTTATCTTGTAACCATGGAAACATCTGGAAGGCTGAGGGTCTGGTACTCGACGTTTTTGCAGAAACCTGAGCCAACGACAGACGATTTTATGTTGACTGTTGCCGACTGACCGATTCGGTGATGTACATCTGCACTCCGTCAGCATACTGCAGGGCGTAGTTGTCGGACCCGGGGAGATTCCACCTACACACACACACACACACACTTCAGTGTGACCAATGAAGCACGATGATGTCAAAACGACCTCCAGCCTCCATCAGACTTACCCGTCGCACACCTCCTTGATCACAGCAGACAGAGGTTTTTTCTGCAGAGACACAACAAAACAGCACTTAGTCACACATGATGCAGACGCAGCATAAAGCCACACACCTGCTGCACAACTACCATGTTTCTCTGTCAGGGAGCCGAATCCATGCTTCAGTAATGACATGCTCTTATGGGATCGCGGTTCCACAACTATTCCCGCTGGCTGGAAGCCTTGTTTGCTGGGCAGAGGGAATCCTACAGCTCGCCGACACTTTGTGAACAATGTTGCCCTCGGTGCCCAGAGTCCTCTTACGGAAATAAAAGCCAGACTACTTCCATGTCTGCCTCTCAGCTATCCTGCTATTAGCGGTCAGCCCTGTGGTTACCCTGTCAAAATGTCTTCAGGTTCTGTGGTCGACCCAGTGGACGGTCTGTCATTAGTGGCAGCAAAGAGGGTCAACGAATCAGATGCGTCTGCTGGAAACGTTCGGGCCAATGGGAAGTTTTCCTGGCGAGGTAGAATTGGTCGCGATTTAAAACGAAACTATTTTGTGTCAAGAAAGGCCCAAAGTAACACTCCTGAATAACTTATTGTGACGCTTCCTCCAAGAATAATCCCGATGAGATTATCAGCTGTTCTGTTAGTGGGTGAAAGGCGCTGACTGGGAACCTGTTTAAGCCGACGCTAGTGTGCAACTCCTCACAGCCCTGCTGTTCACTCTACACTTCACTGTCTTGCGCAAGGAAACAACTTCCCCCAAGTTTCTGGGAAACATATGGAAAACTTCCCCACAATCACACATAGTGCAAGCTGGAGGGGAAAGACGTGTGCACAGAAACACTTTTTACTTTAGTAACAAAGCTTTCACACTTTTATGGCTCATATCAACACAAAACCCCAGAACGAGTAACAACTGTATTAATAACAACATGTTCACGTGAAACAGTCACTCCCAGGGCACGAGACAGACCGCAGAGTCCGGTCATGTGAGTCGCCAACAAGAGCGACTGAGAGGAAGCTGAAAACTCACATCAGTGCATCACTGTGGAAATTTGAAGTGAAGGCAGAG